TCTGGAAGGAGGAACTAGAGTTTTCGGTTCTTCCTTGTAGCACTCCATCATACTGGCGAGCCCTGTATCACAAAAATTTTGTCAAAAATCGTCTACTTAACCTGAGTCCTATAGATGAAATAGTGTTTTGCCAATGTCATCTTTCAAAATAATTTTTATTGTAAAATGAAATGCTATGGTTCCAGAAAACACTTTCAAGAAGTTTAGATTTTGTACGTATCGAAAAACATGGAGATTTATAGGTACCTACATATGTGTATAAATGCATGAGGATTGAGTTAATCTACTTGACATCGTTTCTTAGGAGGCTAAATATCCCATTTATCTGATTTCTGCAATTATTTTGGGTTCCTCTGAAGTAGGGTGAATGTGTCAGTAAACCTGACACTACTAGTAGTCGGACAAATGTTATATTGGTAAAACTTGAATATTTGAAATTATATTCTTGCTGGTAATTGGTACCAGATTTATCAACTAATTTGTCTGCCAAACATTTCACATCCACAGTTGTCATATTGACAAAAAAAAACAATTTCTCAATTTTTGTCATTTGTGTAGTGTGTCACATAAACTGTAAAGGCAAGCAGAATCATCAGCTGACAATATATAAATACTGTTCTTGTTATATATGCAAAAGACATTCAAATTTTACGAAATAAGTAAATTAATCTTAATACAGTGAAAGCTCTCCTTGCGGACAGCTCCTATAAGCGGACATCTCTTTTAACCGGACAAAGTTCCTGGAACCGAATTTCAGCCATCAATTTTCAATGTTAAATGCATTCCGATAAACGGACGCTCTTATAAACGGACGCGGACACTAGATTTTCCTGTATGTGATCAAAAAATCTCCCATAAGCGGACGCGAAACTCTAATACCCGGACGATTTTTTAGTTCCGCTTATTGCAATGCACATATCTACATACATAAAATTCGGTAATTCCCCGATTTATATTAGGTAATTCCCCATTTACGCATTTCGTTGGGTAGCCTGTATGTAATCTTGTGGCTTGTCTTCAGTTCAGGCAAATTCGTAGTTGATTGAGTTACGTATTTTATTATTGTAACTGTAAAATGGCACCAAAAAAAAAGAATGCTCTCGTTAAAGGAAAAGATGGAAGTTGTTAACGTATTAGACAGAGAAAGTGTTTCAGTTCGTCATTTGGCAAAGAGGTTTAATATTGGGAAAACGCAAGCAGCTGGAATTGCCAAAAATAAGGAAGATATCAGGAGTAAATGGCAATCAGGAACTAATATAAATCAAAAGAAGGATTTTTTATAAAAGGAAGGTTTTGCTATGGACAAAACATGTTTTGAGTGGTTTGTGAAAGCTAGAAGTCAGAACATTCCAATCTCAGGGCCGTTAGTGAAAATGAAAGCTAAAGAAATCGCCACTACTTTGGGCTATAATAATTTCAGTGCGTCCGACGGGTGGCTGCAAAAGTGGCGCAAGAGACATAGTGTGAGTTTCAAATGCATATCTGGCGAAGCTGCTGCAGTAGATCAAGTTGATGTGTCACAATTTTTGGAGAAACTTCCGTCCATGTTGCTGGGCTACAAACCAGAAGATGTGTACAACGCAGATGAGAGTGGACTTTTTTTCGCGCATTGCCCGACAAAACTCTGTCCTTTAAAGGAGAAACATGTGTGGGTGGAAAGTTGTCTAAAGATAGACTAACCATTTTATTCTGTGCAAATATGGCCGGTGAAAAATGCGATTTGATTGTGATCGGGAAAGCGGCTCGTCCCCGTGCTTTAAAAAACGTTGCTATTAAGGATCTACCAGCGACTTGGAAATCCAACAAAAAGGCATGGATGACCCGAGAAATCATGTCTGAGTTCGACTAACCGAATTCGACCGGAAAATGAGAATCCAAAAAAGGCAAGTTCTTTTATTTTTAGACAATGCATGCTCTCATCCTCGTGATATGAAAATGAAAAATGTGAAAATTATATTTTTACCGCCAAACACAACTTCTGTTTGTCAGCCCATGGATCAAGGTGTCATACAGAACTTTAAATTTTATTATCGGCACTTGATTTTAAAACATATTTTTACAAAAATTGACGATGGTCAAAGCTTATCTGAGCTTACAAAGTCTGTCAATGTGTTAGAAGCTTTGTATTTTATAAAAACAGCATGGAATAAAGTAAATTCCTCTACAATTAAAAACTGTTTTGGCAAAGCTGGATTCAGAAAAAGTGAATGTAGCTCAGAATTTGCTGAGCAAAATTATTGCGATGCTGAAGACGATCTGCCCTTAGCGACACTTGCTCAGTTACTGCGACATGCCAAACATTTAGGAGTAGCAGATCCCCAGAAAGTAGATGATTTCCTGGCCATAGACAATAACATAACAACAGAAGAAAATGCCATTGGCAACTTTTCGAATTTGGATGTAGAAAGCCCAGGCCAACTTGAATATGGTAGTCCAAACAACTCAGAAGAAGAAGTGGAACTGGTGGACTCACTAAGCGGTTCAAAAACGATAAATTCATATGGGGAAGCTCTAAATCATATTTCTATATTGAAAAAATTTGCTAAAGATGATTTCACTGCATTTCAACATTTGAAAAATTTAGAAAGTTATTACGAAAATTGTCTCCTTCAGCAAAAGATGGTGAAATTTCGTCAGACAAACATTTTAAACTTTTTTCAACAAGCTAATGAATAATGTTTTTTTTAAATTCTCGTACCATGTATTGAAGCATTTATGTTTTTGTATGCGTATATGTACATATATTATATAGATATAATAGCATAAATATATACTTTGAAAATGTGGCGAGTTTCTGTTTCATTTTTCTCATGATTATAATACCTCATTTCCTCATGATTATATACCCCGTTATTTATACTCTATACTTACATACTCTCTTTTAAACGGACACCTCCCATAAGCGGACAAAAGTTACGGAACCGTGTCCGCTTATGGGAGCTTTCACTGTATTTTAACATTTGAGTTGCCGCTGACTGGATCATTACACTAGTCAAAATCCAATAGTGGTCAAATGGCGTGGTCGTTATCAATCTATATGTTTCTCTTCAAACATAGAAACTATCAATCTTTTCTCTTGGAATAAAACAAACCAGAATAAAACTATCTATAAATTCTATAAGCAACGTATTTGTTGTCGGCGAAAAATTAACAACATACATGATCACCTCCAAAAGCATTATGGTGTTATCTTGAACACAAAATTTGTAATTACACTTTTTCTATTCCACTTTTGTCTAAACTGTGCGACCACTGGCTCACTCACCTTATTGCAAGTTGAACTATTTTTTCTATCCCACACAGTTCAGCATCTCATCTAATTCCGTATTCTAACTTTTAACCATCTGATAGCAGAAATACCCATTTATCTCTCAAATACACATCAAGTAAACAAAAAAAGTCGCCCAATCGTCTAAGATACACAAAAAGACTCCGATACTATTGGCCGACTCCTGACCAGTAATCGTTCTGGATTCGACTAAATATTCCGGTTCTGATCTTTTGCGGAGAATAAATCCTATTGGTTCATACTGGGTATTCATATTGTATTGGTGAAACCATGTACCAATGAAAGTTAAATAGGCTTGATAATACTATATATAGTTGTTCGCTAATGAAATTAAATGGAAAGTGATTTTATGCGAAATTATAGAAGATATTCGGAAATTGTTTTCGCAGCAAGATTCTTATCTTATAGATGCGTACTCACAAATACTCTGGTTCCAGAGAACACAAAGTTCAGATTTGGTACTTATTGAAAATAGATCTGTAGATATGAATGCGAGGAAAAAACTGAGTCAATCTACTTGACAAAGATGAATCTGACAAACTGTAATTTAGGTCCGAATGTGCTGTATCTGTAGCTAATTACATTAACTGAATGATTTCATTTTTTGCTTCCCACGCCGCTGGTAAGGAAGTATTGTAATCAATCGCGAAAAATTTTGAAAATGACAAAACAAATTTGATGTGGTTTTTGGTCAAATATCAAATACGTTATCAGTACAGAATATTATCTCAAATCCACGACAAGGTGCCTTTTTTGTTTTGGCATAACAACAGTCATATTTTTCTGTTGCGTTTTGCTAAAAATTTAATTAACTGCACATAGAACAGTGTAAGGTAACGACAAGTAGAATGATTTTCGATAATCTACCATATCTCAGACGACTGAAAAAAGCATGCAGTATTTTCCGGTTGTGACTATTCTGTGGTAGTGCTTACCTTCTTAATGCAGATACAGGTTCCTCTCTTCATTGGTCCTGACCACAGTCTCGCACCTTTGCGAGTACTTGCTTTGGGATGGTGCCTGGTACTTTTGACGTTTATCCTCCTGCTTTGGAGGAATAAAACTGCTGTGATAATTATACTGAGATCCGTACGACGACGTAGCATGCTGAGGAACAGCGGGAACACTCGGAGGTTGACAGTACTGTAGAAGAGGCGGTTGAGCTTGTTTGGTACTATTTTGCTGATCCTCGTTCAAAACTGACGTGATGATGCTTTTCAAACGGTCCTCGAAGTTGGCTATACGCGGTGGCTCTTGGGCTTTAGGAATGCTGTTAGAATTTTGGGCAGTGGACTTGGAACTATCAGTTACAGGATAGTTGTGATGGGTTTTTTGGACATAGGGAGAGGCGCAGAGGCTTTTGATTATTGTTGAGCGGTGTTTTGTTGATCAGGGATGACACCTGGAAGTAGTCATATGTCAGAATTTTTTTGGTATCTTAGGACATCATTTTCACTTCACACACACACATATACGAGCATAAGAGAGAAAAATATTGTAGTCATGCGAACAGCCCAAAAATGAATTCCACAGAGGTTTTTTTGTTTTAACCCTCTATTGCATATGGTTCCCAAACGGGAACATTATATTTTTAGCTTGTCTAGTGTCGTCATCTAACGTTTAGATCCCCATTTAATGCGTAAGATCCAAACTTGAGGCATTGGGCACCGTTCCGTATAGTTTTTCAACCGATAGATGTTGCTAGGAGCACCTCATGGTTTGCATTTGATTTGACAGCGTCGCAAGCGGCCGTTCCAGATTGTTATCTCACTTTTATTACAAGAAATAGCTCTTTTGCTGCATTTAGGTGAGTGTTTTATTTTTTTTATTACTAATTATTATTGTTTGAATAATACTGTACAAAATGTAATTAATTTTGATGATATTTGTTGCCACGAGGTAACATAACCCTAATGTTCCCGCTCGGGAACATTATGCATCCAAGGTCAATAACGGAAATTGTTTGTCTTCCATTCTTTACTAAATAGCATTTTCTATTATAGATCCAAACGACAATGGATTTCCCTGAAATAAAACCAGGTGCATTGTATGGGCGTAAAAGGGTTCAGTTTATTCGCGGTATTCCATCTGACAGCGAGGATTCGGAACTTCACATGACGAGGATCAAGGTGAGATAAAAAATGCTTCTCGGGCAACATTAGTTTATATTCATTTTATTTACAGTGGAAATACCAATATCAACGAATGATTTGGGCACGGAAGACTTGCAAGATGCAGATTCAGACCCAGATGATATTCCCCTAGCACAACTATTTCGCCTTCCACCTAATACCAGGTTTTTCCTCTCAAAAACTGACGATAATATATCTTGGAAGCAGTCAACAACTATGAGAGATCCTCAAGAAAATAGATTTCTTGGTCAAAGTGATCTTCCAGAAGACATCTTACAGATACATGGTGCATACAGTTTTTTCAAATTTTTCTTCACGGATGAATTTCTTGCACAAGTTGTAGAACAAACGTGCTTGTATAGTGCACAGAAAAGGCCTAACAAACCAATAACCACAGATATAAAAGAAATAGAGCAGTTCTTAGGAATAATCATATGGAAGTCTCTAGTAAGACAACATTCCACTAGGAGACACTGGGCTGCTGGTACTAGGATACCTCAAATTGCAGATGTGATGCCTATCAATAGGTTTGAAGAGCTTAAACGCTTCTGTACACTTATGCTTCAATTCTACCAACAATTGTTTTAAGGAATTCCATTGTAATTGAAAGGTTTTGTCTCTTTTGGAAATATATGTATGTATCCTTAAACGCATGATGTTCCCAATTGGGAACACAAATTTTTTTTTATGTTCTGAATAAATTTTTTGAAAATAATGTTTGTGCCTTATTTCTATGACCATTCACATACATAAAACATGAAATAAAAAAATCTTAACAAAAAAAAACAAAATTCATGCAATAGAGGGTTAACATACATGATGAAAAAGAGATTCCAATAAACATTATTGTTGACACAAAGGAACGCCGAGCTAGCAGTAGCGTACGATGTGTTACGCTACGCTCTTCCGTGTCGGTAACCGATGGTAATGAGTTCTATCATTGATTAATATTTTCCACCAGAAGATACACAATTGAATTGAAAGCCGTGGCTGTACGCAAAAATGGACTATTTTTTGGGCTATTTCTACATTGAAGCGACGAGTTTTTTTTCATCTTCATGATATCTACCTGTTCAATTTCCTAAAAATTTGTCATCTTATTGATTTTTAACCTGCTCCAAAATAGTTATTTATTACACAAGGGAAAAAAGTACTAGCTTGAGGTTGTATTGTCTCCCGACAAAAAAAAAATGAAAGCTAAAATCTAGTATTTTTCCCGTGTATAATACACAATTTTTCTGTGACGGGAAAAACGATGATTTAAATTTGAATTTTGAAATCAGTAGGCTATGTTGTACTTATAGCGACAATTAGACCTGCGTTGCTAAAGAAACTTGTAAAGTAATCAGTTAGCTGTCAATTTAATTTTGTGATTTGATTTAAAAATTGTGAACTTAGTGCTAAAGCTAGAGCTAAATCGTTTATATATCATCAGTATTCATTTTTTTCCCTTGGGAAAAAGTAATTTCATAAAAAGTGAGAGAGATAAAATATCAAACATTTTTCCCGTCACAGAAAAAAACATATTTATTTTATTATAGCTAAGATGTAAACTAAAATACTTCCCGAAAATAGTAAAATGCATGACCACTAGTATCAAGATACGAGGGTTGTCTGAAAAATAAACGGGCTGCCTGCGGACTTCCTTGTGGCGGGAGTGCAAAAGTGGATTGCACGTCGTGGCGACTATGGAGAAAAATAGCTTGAAGATCAACGTTTCCAATGATAAATTCATTTTTTCAAATAAAAAATTCCTTGTGCCTGAAAAAAATGTGCGAACCTTATTTTTGAAACAACCCTCGTACGTCGTTGCGATGGAGATGTCTTGAGAGTCAAGCATCCTTACGAGGCTCCTCACGCCATTTTCACAGGTGTTGTTTTTGTAATTCGAAAAAGCACTCTTTGAAGAGGACGTAAACGTAAAAGTAAATAAGCACTTTCCATACAATCAGTCAGACCACTCTATCACACAATTCAGCAACGTGAGCAATAAGAAAATACTTTATTAACAAAATTACAACGACAATCATTCAATTAATGAAATCTTCCAAATCTATACAGCTTTCTGTCCATTCACGACATCACTCAGTGAACGAACAGCAAAGATGAACAAAAATATGAAACAACAGCAACAATTTATTAACAAAACGAAGAAATGCAAGCAATAAAATCTTTCAACCATGAAACCCACATCAAACAAGACTCCGACTTGGTTCTCTCTATTATGTATGTATCGAAGAAAAATACTAAACCAAAACAGTGATCATCGCGTGATTATTGGGTGATCAGTACACTGATATATTTCAAGAGAGAGGTAGCATAACTGTTATCGGGCAGAATAGGTCCTTACACAAAACCAATGACAAACCAGAGGGTGGAGTGGGAGACGATGCGACCGTGCATGCCGGCTGTTCCGGTGGCTGGCCGTCACCGTACAGTACAGAGGTGGTACAGAGTTGGCATCAGAGTTTTACAGGTATTACTGTGTGCCTATTAGATTTGTCAATTTAATTTCGTATAACTCAGAATGTCTGATACGGATACAGCTGATGAAGTTGTAGATATAAGCTGCATACCGCCTAAAAAAAGAGCTAAAGGGCTTCATTTTAGCGTTAGCGAAAAACAAATAATTATCAACATCTATAAATACGAAATGCAAGGAAGGAGTGACTCAAGTGTTCAGGACATTGTTTACAAAGCTGACACCTACATATTTTTCAATACTTGTAAGACGAGGAATTTCAACTAATATTATATTTTATTTTTGTACATGCTTAAACTATATCGAGATAAGAAATCAAGCAATCATTTTGTTGGGTTTTTAATGCTTTCATAGGAGCGGTTTTAAAGTGTCCAAAATTAATTATTTTTAGGAAAAGAGAAGCCATTCTGCGCTCTACACTGTTATACGCACTTCTTCCAGGAGCATTGGTAGCTAAAAATAATGCATCGAGATCATGTAGCTTAAAGTGTTGTATAGCAAACCCTATGACTTTTTGACCATGGTCAGTTTTAGCTAATAGTCGAAACTCTTCAAGTTCGAGAAGCGTCTCGAAATCCTGAACATGAGTATTAGCAGTAGATGAAGTATGCTTTCCACTTCGAATAGCAATGTATGTCAGTCCAGAATATCCAACGGCTTGCGGTTGTCCTATCATATTGGAAGTGATTTTGATACCAGCATAAACAGATGGTATTAATTTATGACGCTCAGCGATTACCTAATCGTGATCAGGAAATTTGATTCTATATTCCATATGCATTAGAAGAGGTGCTTGCTTATTTGCCGCTGTTACGCCAATAGACAATGTGAGGGTTACCATTCGTGTAAAAAAGTAAATAACTACCGATGACGTAATCATCATCTAGACTCCCCTACCCCCCATGTCATCCAAAATAAGCAAAGCAAAGACCCCCCGCCCCCCATAGTGCTCACGTAATACTTGAACGGCCCTTATGCGCCTTATGCTTTTTTTCGGTAACGTTTTAATCATTTCCTGCTTAAAAGGGAGACTGAAATAAATGTGCGATACCGCTAAATTTGCTAATTCCAGACCAGCTTGAAGTCAAAAATGTGCAAAATGAATCTGCACGTAGATATGTTTTTTTGATAAAACTTGATTTTTATGAATGACTGATAGTAGAATAGGTTGCAACAGGGATTCTATTATTTATCATTAGACAAAATTAAATTTTATAAAATTAGCCGTCGTACACTGCGCAGAGATCGAATTACTGGTTCTGCGCATGTGGCATCTCTCTCTCCGAGTTGCAGTCATCACGACTGTACTCTACATGCATGCCCGTCTTGTCGACAGGACTGGATTCACACGAAATGAATAGCTCCCTTTATTAAAACACATTTATAGATTAAAATTTATTGTTAAAATATCACAATTAAATTATGGTAATACTTTTGAATATAATGCCGAATTTTTGGTTCAAATGTGTGTATATGAATTTTGTAATTAAAAATAGACAATATATAAAACGTCATTTCGCGCGACTAGAAATGTAAGTAGACAGATATACAAATATAAATAACAATATTTTACATTTCATGATAAATCATCAAGCTGGATAAACTACATTTCGAACCAACAATTAATAAACCAACAGCTTGATAAGTCAATATAATCTGAAAATATAGTCTAAGGTGTAACATAAGTGATGGCATTATTTTAAGCGTAATTCCTGATCAAGTTTCATGGAAAATACAAACCCCTACTCCAACTTGTGTCCGGAATTGCATACCAACTCTTGTGTTACATCATCTATAATTTGTGAGAGAATATTGATACTAAACTACGCAAAAGTGTAGGGTACAATTAGTTACTCCCCAAGCTAATAACCGATGTGGAACATTTTTAAAATTGAGATATTGGTTTTGTATGCTATGCAATAATAGGATACGTTATCATCATCTGCGTCGGTCCGTCTGTCGTCGCCTGTCAGAGATTCTCATGCGACCTGGAAAGTACGGGTCTGATTTTGATGAAATTTTGACACAAGATTAAACTATATGGCAAAGAAGGGAAAGCGTAGCATATTTTAAGAATCTACCCAGTGGCAGAGGGATAATAATTAACAGAGTGGGGCAGAAGAGATGACCCGGTTTAGAGGAGGTATCAAAGAAAAACTGAATAACTTACAAGCTTAAAACTTTTTTTTATTATAATTTGTAAGTGTTCCCATTTTTTATATTTAGTTTTGAACACAACTTCAACAAGATGGTGGCCTTCAGCAGCAATAAACTGATGTAGTCTATTTCTGAAGTTTTGAGCTACTTTTCTAAACATTTCTGGGGGTCTGGTGGATTTTTCGTCAATAATTCGGGTCTTTAGCTCATCTAAAGTTGTTTAAAAACTTTCTCCTTCAAATAACTCCACAGAAAAAAGTCGCACATGCTTAAATCTGGCGGGCGCGCTGGCCATACCAAGTCACCTCTCAAAGACACGAGTCGACCAGGAAACATTTGTCTCAATTTCGCTATAGAAATCCGTGCTGTGTGTGCTGTAGCCCCATCTTGTTGGAACCACAGATTTCCTAAATTAGTTTTGTCACTTATTGTTGCAATTGTGGCTCAAAAAAGTTTTGCATTGAAGCCGTGACAGTAACTGTTTGACCATTCTCCTTAAAAAAATAAGGTCCGATGATTCCAAATTGTGAGATCGCACACCACACATTCACTTTAGGTGAGTGAAGAGGACTCTCATGAAGTTGAGTTGGGTTTCTGTCAGCTCAGTACCGAAAATTCTGCTTATTGACAGCCCCAGAGAGGTGACAGTGGGCCTCGTCGCTGCTGAAAAAAGTTGATGTTTCGGGGATTCGTTCAAGCATTTCTTGACAACGATTTACACGGTTGATGTAATCATCAGGCTCCAGTTCTTGAACAACCATGATTTTATAAGAATGGAATGACAGTTCTCCATGCAGAATTCTCCTTAAAGAGCGAGCAGACATATCCAAAGCAATCGCATGCCTCCAAGCAGAGCACCTTGGTGACAATCCAACTGCTGCTCTCACAGTCATCACATTTTCGGGTGTTGTGACAGATCTGAGTCTTCCAGTTGACTTAGGTCTTGTAGTGGATCCAGTTTCTTCCAATGTATGGGCCCAACGTCTAATTGTCTTACCGCTAGGGACCGTAACATTACGCGGAATGTTGAAATGGACGCGAATAGCTCTCTGCGTGGCGAAGACATTTTCAAAAATGTACGCACAGCGAAGCCTCAATGCTTACCTGTCCAAATCATGGCGCCAACTGAAAACAGGACGATGCAACACCCATAATGACACCCCTCCCCGCTTCCTACTCCCACCACAGAACAAGCAATTAGTTTGACGAACCGTTTCATTACTTATGCCCCACCCTGTATTACTAGTTGATTTGTGATGTGGGCCTCACACTCATTCAAATATAATACATAAAAAATGTGATGTTTAAAATAATTGTACATATATGACAAACATAAAATATAAGTATTAACTACATTCAGTAATACACCACCACCAATATTATTACGGTGGCTATTCAGAATATGACAAGCAGTTCTTTGCTTTTGATACTATTAAATGTCATACGTATCATAGGGAAGGCAAATAACAAAAAAAGCATTTATTTGCATAACCTATTTTGAAAAATATTTTCAAGATTCCAAAATAATGTTTATAAACATGTTATTCATACTATGTGGTAATTATTGATGTAAATTATTAATCATCCTAAAAAATAAAAATAGTTTAAAATTTGTTAGAATAGTTATCATTTGCTGCCAACCGTAGCTGTGCAGACAGCTCAATACAGGATTCTTTTTCTTCTATAATTTTTCTAACTAAATTAATTTTTTTAATTTGCAGTATCTGATTCTCCTTTTGTAGTAACACCATTATATCATCCAGACATTCCTGTCTTGGAATTAGTGTTATAGGAACAGATGGATTGTTAGACTTTTCTAGCTTGGCTTTCAAAGCTTCTATTTCATTTCTTTCAGCCTGCATATCCTTAAGTAACTGTTCCTTTAAGTTCATCAGTCCATTCCGTTTATATGTAAGTAAAACTATGTCATCATCAAACAAAAAATCATTCTTCTCCAATGGAAATTCTTCTTCTGAACTATTCATATCTTGTGCTTCTCTTGAAAGACTAGAGAGATCCATATGATGACTCTCAGTGTCTACTGTGGCTATTTTTGGTTGAGATTTGCTAGAAGAGTTATCAGAATGTGACACAGAAATTTCACCATTGTCATTTTGTGATGAAGATCCATCTATAATGTCATCATTTTTAACGTCAGGACTTTGATCCTCTTCTTTAGTTGCTGGTGCTTCTTCAGCCTTTTCTGGGGTATCTTTCACTTTTTGAACCATCTTCAGCTTTCTCTGAAAAGAAAAAATGGCGTCAAGTAGTTTGACTCTATATTTCCGACACCTTCGTTGAAGGTTTCAACGAAAACGGATGAGTCAACTCGGATCAAAAGACGAAATCGAGTCGTGATTAGGTACGTTGTTCCAGCGATTTCATTTCCGCCGCCTCTGAATCAATTTTCAAAATCTACGACTACCTGAACGATGGAAGTATTAAACCCGCTATAATATTCGAACTTCGGTTCACAAGTATTCTGTTGCTTGAAGATATCTACATCACACAAGTGTACTTTATGTCAGTTTTTCAGTCCGTGTCTGTTGTATATACTGAGTCAACCTACTTGACGGAATATTCAAGGAACCATCATAGGCGGAGTAACATAAAGGTTAGGCAAAACGGGTGGTAAATTTTCATACAATGCAGAAAAATATATGGGTATGAATGAATGAATCTTGAAATTAGAGGTATCCCAGCCACCATAAGGAGCCAGTGCATAGGCCGCTTGAGCAGACCCTTATGCACCTCTACAATCCTTAGATCACAAGCCTCGCCCTTTTAGTGAAGTTGAGAATCGCCTTGAGTCCAAACTCCTTGACGTCCTAAGGGTCCAAAGTAATGGACCCCAGTATAGTCTGCCTATAGTAGCTCAGAGCTTCACAGCGACACAAAACGTCTCTTCCTCAACGTCAAATCCGAAGTTTTGGCGATTTTTATTTACTTCGCATTTTGGTCTTTAACTCTGCCAGCACTAGACTGATTTTAAAAAACTACTAAGTTTTTTCATCCTTGGCATAGCAGTAACATTGTGTAAAAATTTCATCAACATCCTAGTGGTACTTCTCAAGTTATAGGCATTCATTTAATTAGCGGACAGACTGACAGAAATGAGCATGGCATAGAGCAAGTAGAAACATATTTTACAACTATCCATCAAAAATTAATTTCTTAATCTCTTACTTTTAACTGTGTGATGATCCTTTGAACTTCCCAAAGCAATTCTTCCCTCTCTTTTGAAATAGAGCAGATATTCATTTCTTTATGGATCTGTGCTAATAAGGATTCCTGTTTCTTCAACTCAATTTCCATAGCTTGTTGTTTGTCAGGTAACTGAGAACCAGATCCCAAAGGTGGAATATATTTAAATATAATGACACTTGGAAAAAGAGCTTGACTATGATGTAGAAGAGCTTGTAGAAGTCTAGAAGATATGTGGAATATGTGGTTGAGAGCAGCTGCTAGGTTTTGCTTACTCATTTTGTTTTGTTTTTCCTACAACAGAAATTCAAGATAAACATGTGAATAATACAGTTTCCAACACCTACATTCAGTGAAACATTGTTGAGATGGACTATCAACCATGACAAAAGCAGTTTGTTCAGTGGGGGTAAATTATCTACCAAGATTTTCAGATGTTTTTCTCTAGTGTTTAGGTTTAATATGGCACCAGCTTCTTCAAAGCGTATCAGTAAATCATTTGTAAATATGGGTTCTGGAAGATCTCTAAAAAATATAATAAAAATTTACAGTCATCAAGTACTTTTGCTTTGAACTTTACCTTAAAAACATTTTGAGTAGACTAGTTGCTGTAGGTACATCATAATCGCTCAACTTTACATTTTGCCTTATATTGTACATCTTCTTTATATGAGATACTTTTGTTTTGGTCCCACTTATTTTATATACACACTCAAAATAAATACCAGCAGCTTCTACATAGTCTATACATTCTCTAATAGGCAATGGTATATCAACACCATCATGACATTTACTTCTTTCTACTGCTAAATCTAGGCTAACTCCAAAAATAGGCAGGGTATCTAAAGTTAAGAAAATTTTGTTAATTTTCAACAGAGTCAAATTAAAGTAATAGTATATACTATATTCAAGGATATATCAAAAAAAAATATATATATATATATATATATATGACAGTTACTATTCATAATTAGCAATAACTGTCAGTTACAAATAATAGCAATAAGCTAGCATTGTCAGACTGCGATTTAAGAGATTTTACCCATGTCTAATAGTCTAATAATTTTGAAGCTATCCTTAAATACAGTTTATTAAATAAAAACTGTAGATTGACCTGCAATATCTATAGTTTCCTCAACTGACTGTTTGATTTTTTTTAATTTGTCCTTTTCACATTTCTTATCTACTTTTTTGTCCCTATCTTTCTTTTTATCTATATGCTCTTTATCCCTGGATTTCTCTCTTTTTTCTTTTGACTTTGTTGTGAATTTGAAAGATTTAGATTTCTTTGATTTTGAAGGGCTTCTGAAACAGAATATATCAAGTATGTTGGGTTTCACATTACGAGGTATTTATACCTTGACTTGTTAGCTTCATCAGAGCTTTCTCCCTCAAGAGCTGCATATCCACGTTCCTTGTCTTTTTTGTCCTTTTTATCTTTTCTTTTCCCAATTAACATATCCTTTTTCATCCCTTTTTCAGCGTCATCGCTATCTACGAATTAAAAAATTATATAATAAATAATAAGTTTATCTCATTTCTTATCTTACAATCGCTATCGTTGCTACACTTTTTATTGAATTCTGACGCGTATAAGCCTGGAAAATCCTTCATCACGTCAGGACTATCAAAATCCATATTCGTGAGATTATATTGTTCAAATATTTGGTAATAGTATTTATTTTCGGTCCACCTTTTTTCACCTTCAACCTTCAACAAACGTCAATTCTGACGTCCTACCACTGACATGACAGATCCAAAAGTGACGTTCAACATTAAATGTCATTTAAGCGTTTTGAGATGACGCACCTATAGGGTGATCCATCAAAAATCCATCACCCACCTCACCCCTTAACTGTCAAAAGTGTCAAATGTTGAAATAAATGATCAACTGTAGCTCTATGATTGCTGATTATATACGTTTCGGCATTCATTTTATGATAAAATAGATAGTATTCTATAGGAATGTTTAAAAAATACCGCACATAAGGGCATACATACTTTGTACAGTACAGGGTGATACATAACCTGGCCTAGGGACTTTAGGATTTACAACTGTGAGCGTGGATACTTGGATAGTTGGTAACAGAAAGTTGTTATTCAGCCATGATTATGTAGCTTGCTTTATAGGTGAATTTATTGAAGAGTAAGCATTTATTGTTTATGCAGCATTAATTTGTTCGAATACAATTCTTAACGCCTTTATAACTTTTATATAATTATCACCGTCTAATAGACAAAAAAATACCATCTTTATAAAAAACACTGTGCGAGTTTGGTTAAAAGCCGGGAGTTTTAGGGCTGAATTACAATAGTGCCCAATTAAGGTAAACTTTGTTTCAGCGTATATAGATAAGAACAACTGAAATGGAGAACTTCGAGGATCACACATTCCAATCTTTCCAAACAATAGCACCAGACGCAACAAATGTAAATTATTCAGAAACCCCAGACACAAGTACAGAAGGGCAAAATGTAAATGCTGATCATATACAAAATAATACTCCAGAAGAATCTTGTGAAAACCCTAAATCTGCAAGTGACTTAAATCTTCCAAATACTGATGATTCCAATATTGATAAAGATATGGAAGAAACCGCAGATTCCAATATTGATAAAGATATGGAAGAAACCGCAGATTTTCTGGTTAAGAACAGTGAAGTCAATACGAGTATACAGACTCCAAGTTTAACTGAAAATATAGAAAGAATAGAGTACACTGAAAATATGGAATCTCTTATTTCATCAACAGAAGATACAACTGATAATGATAATACTAATGTGGAAGACAGTATAGAAAATACAGTTGCACCTTCTGTGGAAGCTACTGATTCGGCAGAACATAAGGAAGAGGAAACAATGGATGTTGATGGAGAAAATAGGCATACTACAAATTATAATGAAGCCCAAGATGTTACTACAGACGCTGATAGCTCTAGACCAGATATAGAGGAAAATCAAGCCAGTCAAGAAGCACCTAATGTGGATTCAACTCAAGATGCAGATGTGAGTACTGTTTGCACTATATAACAAAATGGTGGATTCATGAAATGGTTAAGTCTTAGTCATAACCATTCATTAAATTTTTGTACAAATATTATGATATATTAAATTGAAATTTTTCAATCGAAGGTGTAGTGCTACCACTTTGGTATTTTTCAACTCAACCTGTCACCAAATTACTATGCAGTGTTATAATTATTCAAATAATACGAAAAAAGTAAATTCAATAAGTTAGATCGATCAGTAAGTTATATATGAATGTCTGAAAACAAAGCATTCATTTTCATCTAAATAATTAGTGATCGATTTAGTTTCATATCATGATGATGAAGGGATATGGATATAGTGGCTAGAGGCTGGTCACATATTTTTTCTTGAGGTTCCACTGTTGTGGATTGCCACTTAAACTGGGAAACCCATATCCACAGGGTGTGCAAAAAGTTAAACACAGGTGCTTTCATCATAAATAGTCTAAAAAAGTCATGAAACCTTAGTTAGTTTCTACAATGTATTTATATACTTGGTCCTGTCATATAATATTGTTGTCTGGGGACAGGCCTCAACTATTGACATCATGCAAAAAAGAGTCATTAGAAACATGTTCGATTTATTTTTTAGGGACTATTTCAAGAAATATCAATTTTTGCCCACTAAAATTACTATCGTATACTCATAAAAACAAATGCACTTTCCAAAAAAAACTCGCATTTTCATGATTATAACACATGCAATAAGAACCAATTTTGCTTAGACAAGTATAACTTCTCTCAAAAAGTTGCCTAGATATGCTGGTAGACAAATATACAATTATTTACCAGATCTGTTAAATGAATACGTAGTCATGCCATAAGTTCTGTCCCTCGTTTTCAAACAAGTGTAGACCTGTTAATACTTGTCCGATTGTTTACATTGTGGTGTCAGTTGATTAAGCGCTTTTCAGGTAATTACATATACCTCAGTTTGTATTGATCTCTCGAAGCATAACGATGGAGTGGGGCAAGGCAGAGAACCATATTGCAGTGATAGCTTTACATAAGTGTAATCACAGTGCTAGTCAGATTTTTGAACTCTCACGCGGCCTTCAAATATCGCGTAAATTTGTGTCTAGGACCATTCAGCGGTACAATGAGACGTCCTCTGTTGATGACAGGCCAAGAAGCGGAAGACCTCGTCAAGTAAGGACTCCAGCAGCCATCAAAGCCGTAAAAGCCAGGATTCAAAGGAATCCACTCCGGAAGCAGAAGATCCTATCCAGGGAAATGAAGATTCCTGTCCGGACGATGTCGCGCATCATTAAACAAGACCTAGGGCTAGGGGCTTACCGGAGACGTACGGGCCAGCGACTTACGGCCACCTTGCGACACATCAGGGCGACAAGATCCAAGGAGCTCTTGGAGAGGTACGCAGCTGGGGGATTACGAAAGATTTTGTTCACGGATGAGAAAATCTTCACCATAGAAGAAAAATTCAACCGACAAAATGACAAAGTGTATGCAAGGAGTTCACAGGAAGCTTCGGAGATCATTCCGAGAGTTGAGAGAGGCCACCACCCTGCGTCAGTCATGGTTTGGTGGGGGGTGTCCTACGAAGGGGTCTCTCAGCTCCATTTCTGTAAACAGGGCGTGAAAACAAAAGCGGCAAACTATCAGAGCGACATACTGGATCCTATCGTCAAGCCTTTAAGTGGTACATTGTTTGCCAACCAACACTGGGTCTACCAGCAGGATTCCGCCCCCGCTCACAAGGCTAAGAGTACGCAGCGCTGGCTGGAAAGCAATGTGCCAGAGTTCATTGCTGCGGAAGATTGGCCCTCAGGGAGTCCGGACCTCAATCCTTTAGACTACAAGTTGTGGGACCTGCTAGAGCAGTTGGCCTGCTCCAAAGCCCACCGTAATATCGAGTCCCTGAAAGCGGATTTGATCCGATCAGCGGCAGCTATTCCTTTGGAAGCTGTGCGTGCAGTGATAGATGAGTGGCCCGCGAGATTGAAGCAGTGTGTGAAGGCCAAGGGGGGACATTTTGAATAAAACTGTTTGATTATGAATTCTAAAAATGTTGTCGAATAAATAATATCTTTCATATAAATATATCTTATCTTGTTTCATTTTTATCATGAGATTATCATGGGACAGAACTTATGGCACGACTACGTAGATGACGTTATGCTCTTCAAAAAGAATGTTAACAGGATGCTCTTATCTAACACCTTCTATAGCATTGATGAGTTCCTTGTATTTTTGAAGGAGCTGAAATAATGCAATTGTCAGGAGGACCATTAACTTGCATGTTTTAAATTTTCCGTATGTATTCAGTTTGTTTGTTCTTTTAGTTTGTTTCTTATTTTGTCTTTACTTTTTGAAATATCCTGTGGTATACATATGATATGTTCCTCTCTATACTTATGTATAGTGTTTGGACCTAATAAAAGAATTTGAATTTGTATGTCTTGGCAGCTATGTAGGAAAAACTCTTTTCATAAAATGACAAAGTGGTGGTGTCTGACTAGTGATTGGGTATTTCTAGTTTGAACCTCTCAACAAGATATTCTGGTTTCTTGTTAATCAGAATTTCATGAACCATGCAAGTTCTCAGATTTTCTATCAAGCCAAAGACCAAGATTTTTACTTACTTTCACAATTTTTTTATTATGAAAATTCTAAAACTGGACATTCTTTTTAGACAAAAACTAGGGGCATGCTAATACAGGATATTGTTTTTTTACTGGCAAGACTGCTAGCAATTTTTTTAAAATTGCTGTTCAAATGAACGTTTCTTTTTGTTTTATTATAACTGTCCAGTTTTAAAATTACCTCACCAGTATACAGAGCTGTCAGTACTTCAAGTAAGTTACTTCAAAATTATATTCCAAATACTTCCAGTGTACTTCGTCTACCTAAGGTTAGGTGTAAAAACAGCACTAAGCTAAATCTTTCCTGTTAGTATTTTATTAATTTCAAAGAAATATATGTTATCTTCCAATATGAACCAGATCATATATGATTGGATTGTATGGAATGTTTTTTCCTTCTTTTTTTTCAGAGCCCATCAGAAACCCCTACGAACAAAGAGTCTTCAGAAATTAGCAGCTGTGTTGAGGGTGAGGTTCCCACTAGTGCACCACCAACAGAAGATATTGACCAGAGGGGCAAAATTATAGAAGAAGAAAACACACCTTTGGATAATTCAAAAGCAGATCATGGGATAAAAGCCTTTGAAAACAGGGGAGAAGATGCAGAGAAACCAGACGATATAGAGCAGGGAGATGAAATAATGAAACCTTCAAGTACTGAACCTACTCCTATGGATGATGATACTCCTCAAAATGAATCTTCTCAGATAGAAGAAACAAATGTTGAAGATATGGAAACAACATCAAGCAATATTGCAGAACCTGCTGAAGATTCTGAACAAGCTAAAGATAATGATGTTGATGCTGAGATCAGTACTTCTACTACCTCTACTGAAGATAAAGAAAAGGAGAAATCAGACGAGAATCAATCTGAGGAAGCTAGTGCATCAGAAACAATTAGTACTGGGGAAAATACAGAGTTTGTTCAAGTTAACTCAGAAACTGACAGCCAAGACACAGGCAGGCGAAGTGCAATGGAGGATGATCCTATTGCATCAGACAGCTTTGATGCAATTGGAAATGATGACAGAGAAGGTGCTGACGAGGAACTTTGTATTATACCAGATACCGAACGCGAAATATCTCAAGCTGAAAAAGATGCTGCTTCTACAATTCCTCCTTTGAGGGATATTTCTGCAGCCACTACTGAGGCCATAGATAGCACAATAGATTCGCCAGCAAGCACAGACTCCATTATTGTATACAAGCATGATAAGGAACATTTGGAGATTTGCAATAAGTGCAAGCTGGTGAGTAGCCTTTTACTTCCTATGCCAAAACTGCCAAACATTTTGTAATTGAGATGTTTTTTGGATGTGATATGACATGTACATCACCAAAAACCATGTCACTATACTATAACTATCTAAAACTGTAACGACTCATCGATGTCCACGTGAACATCACTTAACTACCAGTAGTCGGCTGTTCATAGGCGGGGTATGAATGTTTAACATGGGTGAACTAGATTTGTCACATGCTTAATAAAGAGTGGTTTGAAACATATTGTAAGTCAAAAATTTGGGAATTACCTTTATTCATCGTCGCTTCCACTTACATCTGACAGTAATAAACTGTCGCTATCGCTTTCCTCGTTGAAATTGACTATAATTGGCTCTATGATGGTGTCGATGTGGTGGTCAAGCTGCCACATTTTTGTTTCTTCCTTCACAACATGACGGATAGCATTCTGCCAAGCTTCGGGCGTTACTAGCTGTATGGAAGTCTCAAGTAAAACCTCAACGTCTGGTAATTTGAAGGTTGTGTTATGGCGCGCAATATAACCCTTCACTTGAGCCCAGATGAGCTCTATTGGGTTCAGTTCACAGTGGTAGGGCGGTCACCGCAGCACAGTGACACCACATTGACGGGCCATCTCATCAGTCACGTAACTAATGTTCGCAGGTTTGTGCTGTTGTAATTTTTTCATACAATTCCGCTTTCACACATGAATCGTCAAACGGGATTCCTTTTTCGCGCTACCATTGCTGCATGTCACTTTATCGAAATCCCATAGTCGGTACACGTTCGGCTCGACGACTATGGTAGGAAGCATTATCCATGACGATCACAGAGTTGGGCTCAACTCGCTGAAGCACCCCTTGAAACCAGCTCTCGAAGCAGCTGGCATTCATTTCGTCATGGTAATCACCTCCTTTCTTAGAGACGAAAATCAAGTCACACTCTTCTAAAAAGCCACTATCGCTACCAATATGAGTTATGATCAATCTTTGACCTTTCCCTGACGGTCCACTAAGACCAGTTGACAAACCTTCAATGCTTGCTTGTCGGTTACTCACTACGTTTTTGTCTATCCAGGTTTTTTTAACTGTGTGACCTGCATTTACCCATGTCTCGTCCAAATAATAGATTTTTCTGCTTTGTCGCCTATATTCAATCATTTCGCGTAGGTATTTTCGACGCCAGGCGACTATTTCAGGTCTCTCTATCAATACTGACTTCCGATTACGCGTTTCGTAACGAAAATTAATTTCGTGCAGGGATTTCCTCATTACCTCGACGCTCATTTGGGGTATAATTTCATTTTCCTTGATCGCTGCATGTACAGCCTTGCGGGTTGGTATCTCATTCCTAAAGAAGAATGAATGTACGGTTCGCCTTAACGCCATTTTGCTATCGTCATCCAATTTAACGGCCTTTCGTCCCTTCAAATTAAACTTTGGATCAGTAGTAGCTAGAGTTTTCTTCTTTTCATGCACCACGCTGCGAATGGTCCACTCTGGAACGCCTGTCATACTTTCACAACGCGCGAGTGCATCTCCCTGCGACATAGTTCTGTTCAGATAATTGAACACGTTGAGCACGATTTCTTTCGCGTCCCTCTTCAGTGCTTTACGAAGCCGTCTACTTGTTCCCTGGCTTTCAGTACTTCCACTAGTGCCATTTGTACTCCCATGGTTAAGTATAACCAAAACAGTAACCACAGAAACCACAACAATAACAATCACACAACAATTCTTATAAAAACACACAATATGCGATCGCTCAACGAAACACGTTCCAATGCGTTGCCGACGCCTATGAGTCTGCCGGTCGAGGCGCGTCTTTGATTTCATTGGTTCTACTCAGCCATTATTTCCATCTCTGTCTGTGCTGTTGACCACCGCAAAGCCACAGAAACGACATATGTCGTACGCTATACGGCTGTACTAGAAGGAAGCCGGGAGCGAGCTCTGATCACGTGTTGATCACGCGTATGAGTCATTACAGTTTTAAATAGTTGTAGTATAGTTTCCGTCGGTCTGTCCGCTAATTTTATAACTTGAGAAGTAGCTCTCGGATTTTGATGAAAAAAAAAATTCTCGATTTTCAATTTTTTGAATAGTTTTTTGATGTTTAAAATATATTTTGGATAAATATAAAGTTTTCACTGTAGCAACCTTACATTAATGTGTTTTAGAGTTTGCAAGTGTGGATGTTTTTTATTAATTTCAGAAAAGGAAAGCCTTGTACTACTACTCCCAGGATGAAGAGATAAATTATATTTGTGATGACAACTGCCTGTCTAGCTTTAAAGAAAGTTATCTTATCAAAGTGGTTTGTAACTGGGAGGAAGGTGGTCTGAGAGTTAAAAACTTCACCAGTGCTATAAAAGATCCTTCTTTTACATTTATCCGCAAATGTGCGTCTTGTGACAAAGTTACCGACGATATTGAAAATAATTTGACGTGGGAAATAATGGATTTTTGTGACGAGCTATGCCTGACAAAATATCAGAAAGAAATAGGTTCGCACTGTGCAACTTGTAAGGAAGAAGTGAAGTCAAACTCTCTTGGAAAGTACTGTGTACGTTTTGGCAATGATATAAGACAGTTCTGCACCAGCTTTTGTTTAGAGAAATACAAGAAAGGTTTGAAAGTGTGCTCATATTGTCAACAAGACATGTCTGGAGAACCTAAAGGTTTTCTAGCACCTGTTGGGGACAAAGGACAGTTCAAAGATTTCTGTTCACAAATCTGTATGGAGAAATATGACATCATGACAAATGACAGACCGCCTAAAGTCGCTCCAGGAACTATTTGCTCAGTCTGCAAAGGTGCAAAACCCATTACGATCGAGTTAGATTCGAACGGGACGCCCAACTATTTTTGTGGAGAACCCTGCTTTGTAGCGTTCAGTTTTGTTAACAAAATTTCGTCAGGAAAATGTGCCATGTGTAAAAGAAATTTTTCTAAGGAAATCCTGAAAAAATACACGATGTGCTATGACAATGTCCAAAACAGTTTCTGCTCAAACAGCTGCAAGAACATATACATAATAGCACATAGAAAGATAGTGCCTTGTAGCTGGTGCAAAGTGAAGAAATACAACTTTGACATGATACGCAGATACTCAAAAACAGAACCAATGATCAATATGTGCAGTGTCAACTGTCTCGATTTATACAGAACATCATTAGATTCGGCTGCTTCCTGTAAGGTTCTATGCAACTACTGTCAGAAGATGAGTGATCCAGTGTATCACTTATCAATGTCAGATGGCTCTGTAAGGAACTTTTGCGGATATAATTGTGTCTCGAGTTTCCAAAGTCAGTTTCCTAAGCAGAGTGCTCTACCTACTGTTGAAACTGGGTTTCCTGTGCCAACCGGCATTCCGAGGAGAAATAAACGTTTCCCTATTGCTGCAGAAGGAGGTATGTGATATTTTACAAGTCAATACAGATTTTGCGCATTGATTAATCCAGGGTGTTCCAATATAGAAGTACCACTTAATTTTAGACTCAAAATAAGTCGATCGGACATGATTTACCTCTATGCAAAAATGCGTCCGCTAGAGAGCGTCAAAGTTTCCTTTTTAAAACACATTTTTTCAGATATTTTGGGAACCGATGGTCCGATTCGAGTGAAATTTAGAACACTGTGTTTTGCTTGACTTTTTAATATGTGACTTATACAAAAACCTAAACGGGTTCGAAAATTATGTACTATTGAAAATATTATTGATTTTTTTTATCCACAGTCCCAGTGGCGGACGGTAGTTCCATTCCAGTCATTTCGAGTGTGCAGAGTCTCTCTTGTACCAATGGCACTTTGATTCCTCAATGCATTCCTTTGAATACTGTCAGCACAAGATCTACTAGATCCAAGTCATCTGCCACTACTACAGCACAGTTACCTCAGATCACAACTGAGGTTCAAGTACAGATTAAGCATCATTTCATTGTTAGGTCAGCACCTCTTCCTGAACAGAGGAATGTGAGCACCATGTGTTATACCAAGAAAACTAGCCAGGGTAAGTACCTCTTATAGTAGGCTGGTCAACACATTTTCTTATACCATTATGTTTGGGTTTTTGCAGGTACAATGATGAAACCTGAGATGGTCGACCAAGGAGTTCAAACTGACGAAAGAGAGGCGGCAAAGATCCTGATTCCATGTCCAGTTCCCATATATGTCCCAACTCCCATGCACGTTTTTAGTGCTCCTTCCCCAGTACCGGTACCAATACCTATTCCGATACCTATTCCAATATTCATACCAACCACTAGAAACTCTGCGCAAGGCATCATGAAAGAAATCAAAAAGATCCAGGTTAAAATTCCCACGGATCCCTACGAAGCAGAACTTTTAATGATGGCAGAAATGGTAGCAGAAGAAAAGAAGGATGATGTGACAGATTCAGAGAGTGACATTGACGATGGGGGACCAGAAGATAGCTATAGTCCCGAACCTGTTGAAGCGAGTAACACTTTTGGAGACGATATGCTACAAATGGCGCTGAAAATGGCTACCGAGCTTGAAGAACCTGCTGTAGACTTGGAAGGAGCTCTGACAGCAAATACTATAACTGCCCCACAAGGTAATTTAGATACCTAGTTCGTGGGAAATGGCTTAAGAACACTTGTAGGGAGATTGCACCTTATTTTACTAGTTTCACTATGGGTTACTCTGCTCAGGTGGCTTTATTATCTACGTAGTCGTGCCATAAGTTCTGTCCCATGATAATCTCATGATAAAAATGAAACAAGATAAGATATATTTATATGAAAGATATTATTTATTCGACAACATTTTTAGAATTTATAATCAAACAGTTTTATTCAAAATGTCCCCCCTTGGCCTTCACACACTGCTTCAATCTCGCGGGCCACTCATCTATCACTGCACGCACAGCTTCCAAAGGAATAGCTGCCGCTGATCGGATCAAATCCGCTTTCAGGGACTCGATATTACGGTGGGCTTTGGAGCAGGCCAACTGCTCTAGCAGGTCCCACAACTTGTAGTCTAAAGGATTGAGGTCCGGACTCCCTGAGGGCCAATCTTCCGCAGCAATGAACTCTGGCAGATTGCTTTCCAGCCAGCGCTGCGTACTCTTAGCCTTGTGAGCGGGGGCGGAATCCTGCTGGTAGACCCAGTGTTGGTTGGCAAACAATGTACCACTTAAAGGCTTGACGATAGGATCCAGTATGTCGCTCTGATAGTTTGCCGCTTTTGTTTTCACGCCCTGTTTACAGAAATGGAGCTGAGTGACCCCTTCGTAGGACACCCCCCACCAAACCATGACTGACGCAGGGTGGTGGCCTCTCTCAACTCTCGGAATGATCTCCGAAGCTTCCTGTGAACTCCTTGCATAGACTTTGTCATTTTGTCGGTTGAATTTTTCTTCTATGGTGAAGATTTTCTCATCCGTGAACAAAATCTTTCGGAATCCCCCAGCTGCGTACCTCTCCAAGAGCTTCTTGGATCTTGTCGCCCTGATGTGTCGCAAGGTGGCCGTAAGTCGCTGGCCCGTACGTCTCCGGTAAGCCCCTAGCCCTAGGTCTTGTTTAATGATGCGCGACATCGTCCGGACAGGAATCTTCATTTCCCTGGATAGGATCTTCTGCTTCCGGAGTGGATTCCTTTGAATCCTGGCTTTTACGGCTTTGATGGCTGCTGGAGTCCTTACTTGACGAGGTCTTCCGCTTCTTGGCCTGTCATCAACAGAGGACGTCTCATTGTACCGCTGAATGGTCCTAGACACAAATTTACGCGATATTTGAAGGCCGCGTAAGAGTTCAAAAATCTGACTAGCACTGTGATTACACTTATGTAAAGCTATCACTGCAATACGGTTCTCTGCCTTGCCCCACTCCATCGTTATGCTTCGAGAGATCAATACAAACTGAGGTATATGTAATTACCCGAAAAGCGCTTAATCAACTGACACCACAATGTAAACAATCGGACAAGTATTAACAGGTCTACACTTGTTTGAAAACGAGGGACAGAACTTATGGCATGACTATGTATATATGCAGGTGGTTCTAGAAGTTGGAACGTACCTTTTCGAAATAATTACGTTTGGAATAACAAATATTTAATGGCTTGCTATAAATTCTCTCCCAATAGGATTGTATTGGTAGAATCCTATCAGACAGTAAAGATTGGTGTGAGGTCTGCAAAGAGTTCTGTCCTAGGCCCCATATTCTTTCTCACCTATATTAATGATCTCGCTCAAAATATGGGGTAACCCCAAATGAGGTTGATCTTGCCCTGATTGAATGTATTTTTGAGTTTCTTTACGGCATATACACTACCGATCAAAAGTTTTGGGACAGCAGATTTTTTGAGCTGAATCAAACCAAATCAAACAATAGAGCGTGTTTAATCAACAAAATAAGAAAGGAACTATTTTCCACTGGAACTCAGTTAGTTGGTAACTTATTTCTATCAAAATTTACTTTAAATTCGTGATTCATCAAAATGTTCACCACGAGCCCGAATAACTGCATGACCGACACGACTCATCCGACGTATCAAATTTTCAAGAATAGTTGGTACTAAGGATACCCACGTTTCCTGCACTAGTAGCCTCTTGTTGTTTCACCTGTCTGTCCAATTCATCCCACTAATACTCAATAGGAGACAAATCTGGGAACTGGGAAGGCCATGTTGTGATTTTCCTTGCACCAAGTTCTTGCTGCTGGTCCAAATAATTGCGGCGTAGTTGAGATGAATGCTCATTGTTCCCAACAATCCTTTGTCCTGAGGGAACAGTATGGTTTTCCAATATTTCCATATTCTGCTCTTTTCGCATTATACCCTCAATACGAACCAAATCTCCTGTTCGATTTCCGTTGTCGAGATCCGAACATTTCGAATTTGGATTCATCCGACCAAAGGACTCAATTCCAATCGTCAGTGGTCAAATTCTTGCGTTTTCGACTCCATGCTAACTGGTTGAGTTTATGTATAGGTCGCAGGAGTGGTTTGCATGCTGCTGCACATCCTCTAAGGTTAGCCATTTGTAAGCGGCGTTTTACCGTGGACAGGGACACAGGGTTTTCCCTCGTTCTGTTCAAGCTGTGTGTGAGTTCAGGCGCAGTTAAATGTCTATTTCGCTTATTTGTTATTACTATAAGCCTGACCTCAGAAACAGTTGTAAGTCTGCGTTTTCTTCAAAATTTGAGACACAGTGTTCCGTCCTAAATGCAGCTTTTCAGCAATTGCTCGAATTGGCAATCCCTCATCACGTAAGGTTCATACCCCCCCCCCCGTTTTTCAAGAGAAGCGTTACCCGTCTTTGCCATTTTACATTATTTTGAACGTACAATTATTACTTTGTTTCATTGATACCCAGAATGCTTATGTATCACATCACGCCGATCATAATACATAGTACAAAAAAAAGTAAGCAGCGGAAGGAAATCGGCCGATTTATGACTGCAATGAACTAATAAAAATATCGGCGTCTCTAAAGATATTTACATTTATTCCCTTTTAAGTGGTGTTTCACTGATTCTTATACATCTTCAGCTTGAGTAGTCGTATTATAGGTGGTAATAATCAATCAATGTCATATAAGCCTTATTTATTTTAAATTCTCTTAAAAAAAGTTTCTGTCCCAAAATATTTGAGCGGTAGTGTACATTTTTTTCACTGAGAATATTGTTAAATTTTTTATACTCATCACTTGTAACATGATCACTTGTGCTGTTATAATTATATGCCGTGTATAGTCCGAACCTTAGAGGACCCTGCATATTGTTTAAAATATTTTTTCAATCCAGATGGGCATGGCCAAGAAGAGGGTGTAGACGAGCATCATCCCATGCATCAGCACATGATGGATAGGAATGCAGCTGCCAGGGGTAGAAAGCGAGGTATCAGACAAAATAGAGGTGGTTCAGCACCCAAGAGAGGTAGAAGAATGTCGCACCAAGTGGACATGCCTATGATGCAGCAACAACAACCGCCTCCACAGCCTGAACCTGTCGAGAAGCCTGATGCCAATATGTGTCTTAAGGTAACATTTATTATGTTGTTATGGCGATTGAATGCTCGAGTGTAAACGGCTATGCGCGTACGCTCTCCCTGTATCTTCATGTGCGCGAGCAACAGCGAACGCGATCCGCATGGTGCCGGTCTCAAGATTTGATTGTATTTAGTCCAGTAAGTGACGGAATGGAGTAATACTAAAGTTATAAAACTCTTGAAAGAGTTTGAGAAATGACCGGTACTGTGGGACGTTAGGCACGAAGAGTATTATTCAAAATCAGGAAAAAATGATGCATGGCAACAACTAGTGATCGATTGTAGCATTGAAAATTTAGACTGTTGTAAAAAATTAAAAGTCTGAACGTTCAGTTGGTGATATAGATTTTTCAAACTGTATCATTTTTCATTATCGTTGGTGTTACCAACGTAAGCAGGTATTAAAAGTCGACCTTGGTCATTCTTGTAAAATTTCTGAGTTGATCATACAGACTGTATGATACTAATTCCTTTAATGAATTATTATTTCTTTTGCGTAGAAATTTTGTTATCCACCAACGACATCTACGTTTCCGATTTTCTTTTCTTTTAATTAAATTATACCTGTATATATTATATCTCTATTCTCCATGTTAACATCGTACACAACGACTGGATCAGTCCATGCGTTGAAAAATGAATTTCAGTTTAAACACTCTCCACGCACGCGAACGAATGCTTGCGCGTATGCTCAGTGCGTGCGTGTTCATATGTAAACGGACCTTTAGGTTTTGTATGCTACGACTGTCAGCAGGGATAAGTCAGCAAGCTGTTAAATTTCACTAAAACGTGAGCTTCAAGGCCATTTATTTATTCATGTATTCATTAGCAACATCCGATTACCGGGCAAATATACCTAAAGATCTGAAAAAAGCGAAGCAAGGGTTCCAGGAGTAATGAAATTTGATACTGATTCTCTAGATAGCCCACAAGAAATTGTTGACGGTTTTGCTACTTCTTTTGTAAGCCGGAGAGTATGTAGCAATAATTATTTGGTGTCCATTCTATGAAATTTGATACTGATTCTCTAGATAGCCCACAAGAAATTGTTGATGGTTTTGCTACTTCTTTTGTAAGCCGTAGAGTATGTAGCAATAATTATTTGGTGTCCATTCTATGAAAATGGTATCTCAGTAGTTGAATCGGTCCAGCGTAAAAGCGTGAAATATATTCACTACAATGATTATGGTTTTCATCTTAAAAGACGTTTTCCTCATGCCATGCTCCTTGAAAGGATGATTTTTTATACTCTAGATTACCGTCGCCATATTACAACCCTATAATGTAGTTACTAGTCAAAATTAATTTTGCAGTGCTCTAAAAAATGTCACGCTTCAACAAGACTGTTTACATTCCAACTGGTAGAACAAATATAACATACCTGTCGCCATAAATGGAATGTTTTTATACGAGGGTTGTTTCAAAAATAGGGTTCCCAACAAGAAGCGCCTATTGTCGATACTGGTCCTTCATCGTCGTCACCGCCAGGTGCGAAATTCGTGCGATCATCCGATTGTTGCACCCAAAAACGTTACCATCCATAGAAATTCATCGCCACTTGTCTCACAACAAACGAAGGACTGAGTTGAGCGATGTGGCTGGGAAGTCATTGCCCATCCCCTTTACCGCCCTGACATAGCGTTTCCGAAATTGAAGTAGCACCTAAGCCAGGCCTCTCCAACTCAGGTGCCACCAGTGCAGCGCCGAGCACTGCTCGCATCACAGTGCTGCATCCTGCCAGAAGTACCTGTCATATCGACTTAAAGATACAGCGTGACAAGAAAATTTCACCGAATCCAATGAAGCCTACAAGGTTTGATGGAAATTTTAGGCTCATTTGGAATAACATGGTATGACAAACTGATTTCCGCCAGAAGTTTCTGTCGTACCGACTGAAAGCTATAGCAGGCAATGCAAATAGATAAAAATAATACATCCTATTTGTGTGCTTCATGCTTGCATTTAAAAGCTCATTTGAGTCTGTGAGTTTGACACCATGTTTGAAAGTATATGTAAAACGAATATGAAACTTCATGACCGTTGATATACGTATAGGTTATGGTACAATCCTACCGTCACGTTGTATCTTCAAGTCGATATGACAGGTACTTTCATCGGCATAACAAGCCCTTTTTGTTCATTTACTTAAAAACTACATATTATTACTAAGTTTAGTCGAATCCGCGATAAGGTTTAATTTCGCCGGCTCCCAGCCCCAACGGAAAATGAGTGAAGTGACTGACATTCGTATTGACATTTGAATTGGTCTGATCGAGTCAACGCGCGGGTGATAAAATAATGTTCATAATTTCGACGTAAACACATTTATTCTTAAGATGATCTTTGACAGCGTTTCGATTCAACAAGTTTTCTAATATTTGGTACAGTGGCTTGAGGAGTGGAAATTCTGAGTATCGCCTCTAAGGACACATCAGACAAAGACCTGTTTTTAGTTTTTTTCAAATTCATTAAAGAAAACATCTGCTCGCAGAAGTACGTTGTCCCGAACATGGAGCAAGTTTCCAAGGTCAGTGCAAGAATTTTGGGAAAATCTTGCTGCTCAACACCTTGATAAAACGAAATTAAATTACTCTTGTAGTGGTAGTATCTATCCTTAAGGATCGTATCGCATTGAATCTTAATTAGCTCCATTTGGAACTGCGGCGGTTCTGTTTCGAAAAGCTCTGAAGATGGCGTCGTAAAAATCTCATTTGCATAAACATCTCAACGTCGTCAATGATTTAAAAAAACATCTTTAGCACTTTTGCGCCGCTTAACCAGCGCGTAACACAATAAAAGGGTATGTTACCGTAAGTTGCTTCCAGGTCTTTTAAAAATACTTCAAACTGCCGTGGTTGCTTTCTGCAGAAATTGACACATGTTATTACTACATCCATAATAGATTTCAAATTACGGAAGGTTTTTGCACATAGTTGTTCCTGATGTAATATGCAGTGTACCGAGGATATCGGAGGTAGCCCAGCGTCGCGTACTTTTATTTTCATTTGCCCAGTAAAACCTTGTGCTTCCGATAACATTGCTGGTGCTCCATCAGTAACAACACTACGCAACCTTTTGAGTAGTATACCCATGTCATTCATTGTGTATTCTACAGCATCAAAAATATCTTCTCCGGCCATTGTATCTTTGTAGTGGGATATCGTCTAGTAGTTCGTCGGTGATAGTAAGACTATTTCGACACCTCTAACGAAAACAGCTAATTATGCTGTGTCAGACATGTCTTTACTTTTATCGAGAGCTATAGAATACTGCACAAAATGGGCACATTTTCCCGCAGTTGTTCTTTTAACTCTGCACCAAGTTCAAGTATCCGACGAGAAATTGTTTGCTCGGACATACTAATTGTCTCAAAGTTGCTTACAGGAGATGGGCACAATATTTCTGCACACTCCACTAAGCATTCTTTGACAAGTGCACCGTCAGTAAACGGTCCCACTTTTTGCGATTTTCAAAGCAACAATATAACTTGCATTACGACACCATTAATAATAATCAACTACGACCAAATTAATAATTACCTCTTCAGAACTTACAACAGAACAGAACAGTACCGTGTCACAAATTAAACATTTTGCTTTTCCATCAATATTCACAAAAAATAGGCTTCTTCCATGCAGGATTGAATGACATCGTTTAAAAAAAGATGCACGTTAAGACGCTAAAAAACCTGTCCACTTTGTCTTGTCCTATTAAGAAATGGCCCGAGCCCGAGAGACAGTCGGCTAATATGATTCTGTCTGTCGCGACGGCTGTGCGGTCGAGGTGGAGGGGGGACGGCACCGGAGCGCACCAGCACCAAGTGCTCGAGTTGGAGAGGCATGACCTAAGCGGTTAACGAATGAAGAGTTGCAAGTAGCAGCTACCGAGTTTCTAAACGGACTTCATTGAGGCGGGACTGCAAAAGTGGATTTCACTTCTAAAAAATGCGCAGAAAAAAATGGCGACTACAGAGAAAAATAGCTTAAAGATCAACGTATCCAACGGTGAATTCGTTTTTTCAAATAAGAATTCTTTATGTATCAAACAAATGTGGGAACCTTATTTTTGAAACAACCCTGGTAATTCTTTGCTTATTTTGTTGGGTTCCATTGTTTAGGACATTAATCGTATTTTTTTCCAGTACACATTTGGCGTGAACGCTTGGAAACAGTGGGTGACAACGAAAAACACAGAGTTGGAAAAATCCTCACGACGATGCAAACTATTCAAAACAGAAATTTTGCAACTGACTTCAGACGAACTAAGTTACTCATTGTGTCTGTTCGTCAAGGAAGTCAGAAAACCTAACGGAGCAGAGTATGCTCCTGATACGATATACTACTTATGTTTGGGCATCCAACAATACCTCTTTGAGAATGGCAGGATAGACAACATATTCTGTGATCCATACTACGAGAAATTCACGGATTGTCTAGATGAAGTCGCCAAGAAGTTCTCGGTCCTTTATAATGATTCACATTACATCGTTACAAGAGTTGAAGAAGAGCACTTGTGGGAGAGCAAGCAGTTAGGAGCTCATTCTCCCCATGTGTTGCTAAGCACATTGATGTTCTTCAACACCAAACATTTCAACCTGACTGTAAGTTGATATTCGCTAACTTTCCTTTAATTACCTCAAAGATTATTTTCGGCGCCCCTACAAAATGATTACGAACATGTATAACATACGAATTAAATGAATGAATGATGACTCAAATAGGCCCATAACATTACCTAACAAACATTTTAAGTTATAATTACATTAATTTGGCCACAAAATAGGTTAAAAAGATTGCATGACCAGTTTAAAAAAGGCTATACAGTGAAATCTCCTTTGGACGGACATCAACGGGACCGACTGAATGTGTCCGTTCAAAAGGGGTGTCCTTATGAATCAAATACAACAAAAATCGTGATTTTAATGGAAACTGAATATATTAAAGAAAATGGGACGTTTAAAACGTATATGTATATAAATGTTATTAAAATAAACAAAAAACTTAAGCTTAAGAAAAAAGCTATATACAGTAATGGACAAAAGTATATAGACAAATTAATATTGTGCTGTATTTCTTTTTTAACTGGTTTTATTAATACACCAACCTGTATACATAATTCTTTATAGCATAATACTCACTTATACATAAATAAATTCATTAGACTGCCTTCAATAAAAACATTAATTGAAAAAACTGGAACTATGGACAAAAATATATAGACAAAGCAAAACAATTATAGAAAAAAGAAGAAGAATTATAGAAAACCAACCATGTTTGTGTTAATATTTTGTAGCATAACCATTATTATCAATCACCGCCTGGCATCGTCTCGGCATAGATTGTAGAAGTTTCTTGGTATAAGATTCATCAATCTGTCTCCACTTTTGCTCTAAATCGGCAAACAGTTCATCCTTGTTTGAATAATTTTTATCCCGTATTTGCTTATTTAAGTATTCCCATAGATTTTCAATGGTGTTTATATCGGGAGACTGTGAAGGCCATTTGAGAACTGGAATTTTTCATCCAGAAAGAATTTCTTTGCGAGATTTGAAGTATGCTTCGGTTCATTATCTTGCTGGAAGATTGATCTTAAGGGCATATTGTCTTCCATATAGGGTAACATGACATGCTTTAGTATGTCTGTGTATACAAACTTATCCATAATGCCATCTATTCTATGTAAAGGTCCCATCCCACACCCCGAAAAGCACCCCCAAACCATAATAGACCCGCCTCCATGTTTGACAGTGTACTTGGGGTTCAATCTTTGTCCACTAGGACGTCTAACGTAATTAACACCATCTGATCCAAACATATTAAACTTGGATTCGTCACTGAAACATACCCTCTTCCAGTCATAGATGCTCCAATCAAGATGCAACCGTGCAAATTGTAATCGGTCCTTACGGTTTTTCCTCGAGATTAGCGGCTTCTTACTCGGGCGACGTGCAAATAACTTCATATCATGTAATCTTCTACTTAATAGTTTTTGTAGCAACACTGACAATTCCTTTTGTCTCGATTTCGGCTTTTATTTGTCTTGGAGTTTTAAACGGATCGTTGGACGAAATTACTTTTATTAATCTAACTGATCTAGCATTTAGTTTTCTAGGCTGACCACTTCTCTTAGAGGCTTCAAAATATCTTTTTGTTTATATTTGTTCAATATTGCCCAAACTGCTTTACGCTTCAGCTTCAAATTTTTTGCAATGTCGACTTGACGTTGACCATCTGTGCATAACTCCATGATCGTAGTTTTCACTTCGAAAGAAATTTCTGGACCACGCGGCATGGTCTTAAAATCACTCAACTCATTCCACAATACTTGAACAGAAACCAATCCTGTTCTGACACGAAACTGTACAAAACTAATGTTGTAAAGAATTTGTCCACATATTTTTGACCCACATAAAAAAGTGTTTATATTCAGACGTGTATTGTGTTCATTGCAGATAACGTAAAAACAAGGAATTTAGTTTTCCTACTAATAACGCATTTGTTTATGGAGCAATAAAGTATGAATTCGTTTTCTAAAGGTATTTAGGTAAATATTCACATTTTGTCCATTACTGTACATTTATGTATAATACAGGTGGGCCATAAGAGTGTTGGCGATTTAAATCTTAAGTTTCTCGGAAACGCGGGCGCGGGGGGGATTACTTCCATGGGGGTAACGGCTCAACGAGATCATTATCTGGAACACACAATAGGTCAGTTCAGAACTTTTATTTTTGTTTACAGACTGTTGAAGAACATATGCAGCTGTCATTTTCTCATATAATGAAACATTGGAAACGAAATCCGAATCAACCAGGAGCCTCGACAAAATTGGCTGGTACAAGAAATGTTCTGTTACGATTTTATCCTCCTCAAAGCGCGATACGTAAGTGTTTGAACCTCATGTTTTAAAGATTTTGTTAATTTTATATTTTTACAGAGAATAATGCCAGAAAGAAAAAGGTTTATGAGCAACAAGAAAACGAAGAAAATCCGTTGAGGTGTCCCGTGAAGTTATACGAATTCTATTTGTCAAAATGGTAAGTTTCCAACATTATAGCACAGAATTTCTTCAGCGTTTAATGTCGTTGTGTTTTTTTTAACATGGGAAAACTTTTATCAGAAAAGCTCGACAGTGTTGTCCTGTCGGCCTTTCGTGCCTAAATTGTGAGATTCTCCAGAAATGCGGCATACTGGCTAACATTCCTCAGTCGTTCACTGCATATCCCACCACGGTAATGCTATCACCATTTCGTCGTGGTGGGTAGCATATCTTAGTGTTCTCTAGTATTTAATGAAGGGTTCCTCCATCTACAGGTGTCCACGTCATTCGAACAAAAAAATGTCACATGTCCACGCCAATATGCCGCAAATCACTGATATCCTTAAAGTTAACCAACAAATGTCATTGCTCATCACTCTTCACATGACTTCACTCTGTACAGGGTGGCCAACTAAGAATGCGAGGTACTGTATCTGGGAACCTATCCGTCGTAGAAGATTGCGACAAAAACATTTATTACTGAAACGGCCAAGAGAAAAACCTAGATGATATTTTCAAGCTTCTGAAATGGCCGCTAGGGGGCGTAACTGCAATCTTGAATCTGAAAAAGTGATGTTTCTGTGAATTCAATCCTCAGTATATCCTAATACGTAGTTAATATTTTCTTATGTTCTTCCAATTCTTTGCCGTTGAAACGTAAGCCGAAAAGTACCATTGGCTCGTAAGTTCGCCAATAATCGGGGCAAAACTCACATCGCAAAGACACCGATTTGGATATCGAAACTCTTTTTGCTACTGCGGGATTCTGAAGACATTCAAAATAAACTACAAGCATATCAACAGCTTCATCGTTCGTAAAACGCATTTGGTAAGCACAAAAATTGTTCAAAGTAACGCAAAACTATTGACAATTTGAAGATTATTTATGTTTTGATTAGTTTTTGTTGTATTCCATGACCTGCTTCTATTAATAATTCTTTTTCGTATATACCAATCGTGAATATGCATTTAAACAAAAAATATGTCTTTTGTTATTAACATTACTTACCTATCAGCGATATTTTGTAATATTTTCAAAAAGGTTGATTTTATTCTCATGAATGAAAAATAATTCCAGAAAAAATAGTTTTAAAAAATAAAAATTTAAGGGATTCCCGTATTAAATTTTTTTTGGCCTAAATTTTAGGTTAGGAACAAGATATCGAGATGCGGTTTTCGCGAGCTTGTTTAGACATCATTTAGCTACTTTTTCAAAAACAAAATCATACCAATGCATATAATTAACCATTTCAATCCGAATGTCGAAAACAGCCTTCCAGCGGCCACAACAAATATAAAACATTTGTAGCCAAAGAATAGCTCTTTTCAACTACCCTAAGTTTGTTGAAATCGGCTCAGCCGTATTAAAGATTTTTTACGGAAACCTTTGAATACCCCCACCACTTTATTTTTAGAGATACAGCAAACATTTTCAAACAAAAAAATTCACATTATCCTCGACTTTCAAGATCAGGTGTTTTTTTGTTAGGTTAATATAGCGGAATTCACAGAAAAGGTACTTTTTTTAGATTCAAGATTGCAGTTATGCCCGCTAACGGCCATTTTCAGAAACTTGAAAATATTTTCCAGGTTTTTCTCTTGGCCGCTTTTTTGCCGCAAGCCTCTAGGATGGATAGGTTCCCAGATACAGTACCTAGCATTCTTAGTTGGTCACCCTGTATAAGGCCCACATAACACCTAGCCTCGAGTACGCTCACATGTTTGGGGTGCTGCCGCCCCGACTACATTATCCATGCTCGATGCTGTTCAGAGAAGGGCTGTCCGACTGATCTATGACTCTTCTGTAGCGGACAGTCTCGGATCCCTTTCGCACCGACTGGCCATCGGCAATCTAGCTCTCTTCTACCGCTACGCCAACGGGCTTTAGTCCTTCTCCTGCATGATGCCGCCGCGCGATGTGCCTGCCAGACTGACCCGCCTTACCTCAGCCTCCCATCCTAACCAGAACTGGCCGATACGACCGCTTCTTGGTCCATAGGGTATCGAGATTGTGGAACAACCTACATGAGGGAGGCTTTTCCCAGTTCTACTAACCTAAGGCATTCCAAAAAATCGGATTAACAAAGTTTCTTTGGGATCCTCATAGCAGCCGCGTATCCCTGGCATTTAGACTTCTGATAAAGAATTTTGTTAATAATACCTCTTACGCGGCTTATTATATTATTATTGGGATTATTTCAGTCCTGAAAGTGTAAGAACAAGAAACGATGTCTTCTACCTTCAACCAGAAAGATCTTGTGTCCCTGACAGTCCAGTGTGGTATTCAACAATGCCATTACCGAAAGAAGCTTTAGAGAAGATGCTGCATAGGGTCAAAATGGTGAAAGAAATTAATGTAGCTCTCTTGACCAGTTAAACTTTGACATATATACAAGCTTTTTATACTATCGTTGATTTTTGTGGTTGGCAGTATAGGACATCACATAGCATGAAATATTGATTCGCCACATCGAAGTATTCTCAAGAGATAATTTGAAAAATGTACATTCCTTAAGGTGTGTGTAAGGTTTATCAATCCAACGATGAAAAATTCGTAAAATTTTGTGATAAGAAGAAACTCTTCATGGCATCCGATTTATACTGATTATACGATAAATCAAAGTTAGTATAATCTGAGTGGCATTTTTTTACAAATTCACACTGTATATCTCCAATATATAGATTCAACTTTTGGTGTATAACACTTGACAGCAGACTCGGGTCGAATACGAATCCTGAATACTGCATTTTAAATTGTATTTGAATACAAGGAAAAAACTATTCTAATACCCATCTTCTGAATACCTGGATTCATTTAAATATCAATACTTTTTGAATATTTCAACTTAAAAATGCACATTTTAAGGTGGCACGTCCCTTTTTTATATTTCTTTTCAACTTCCTGTTTGCAGGAGTATTCTAAATCTTTTCATCTGATAATTTCATGGTGTTAAAGAGATGACTAAAAACAATGTTTTCATTTTCTTTTGTAAAAAAATGCATTTTTTGTGCATTTTATTGTATGTTCTTTCTTCAATCGAAACTTGTTAACAAATATATATATATATATATATATATATATATATATATATATATAGCTCTGAAATTGTGTGTGAATATTCCTCTTTTATGGAAGAATGAAACGAGTGATACATAATTTCAGAGCTGTACTTATATTTGTTAACAAGTTCCGATTGAAGAAAAAATGCTCGATAAAATGCACAAAAAATTATTTTTTGACAATAAAACAAATGAAAACATTGTTTTTAGTCATCTCTATACAGACCATGAAATTATCAGATGAAAAGGATTTAGAATACTGCTGCAAACAGGAAGTTGGAAGAAAATCTAAAAGAAAAGGGACGTGCCACCTTAAACTTTATTTTTATGTCCTTAAGTTATACAGATATTGAAAAATGCATGACTATATTTAAACTTAAAAATAACATTTTGATACAATGTCTCAGTGATCTATCACGAATTTAGGAGCACCACCATCCACACAACTAAAATCCACAACTACGCTAACGAGTTTTAACACGCGAAACGCAATATTCATACGGATAGCCAAACAGTATTCGAAAACAGGATTCCAAATCAGGATTCGAATACCGGGATCTGAATGCAAAGTCAGTATTCGAAATTCGAATATTGGTATGCAGAAACGGTATTCTGAATCCAGAATACCGAATACTGACCAAAGTGTTCAGTCGAATACCAAACACGAATAGTGTTCGTAAACCAGCCATATGTATTCTGAATAGGATTTAAAATACCGAATATTCGAATACTGCCCAAGTCTGCTTGACAGTAGTTATCCAGACTCTTGGTAATATTACGAATCACAAAACTTTTTTTGGAATTTAATTATAACCCCACTTTTTGTAAAATTCAAGAAATTGTTGGTTATCGCAAATTTTAGTGACTCTTGTGACATGAATTTTCAAAATGGTTTTCCAAACAATATATTATAGGCCAGGTGAATTGAGAAAAATGCTAGTTTTTTTCGCATTCAGAGAGGCAACCCTGGTAACTTAAAATGAACATAAACACTTTTTGGAAAGGTACTCTTCGTTTTTGTACCTTTAATGCCGCAAAATCGAAGATGTGCTACAAAACTCAAAAAGATTTTTAAGCAAATTGAATGTCCACCAGAGTTGGTAAAGATCTATTTTTTTTAATAACAAAACTTGCAAAAACGTTTTGTTATCAAGGCTACTTTGCCTGTGGTTTTAGACAAACGTGTATTTTTGTGTAATATTCTTTTTTATTTTCTGTAACTTTGATGTCCACTTTTGTGTGACAGATTATTTTCACATTTGTGAATTTCGAATTTATTTATATATATATTTCTTTTTATTTTATATTTGTAAGACGTATTTAGCTTTCAAAGCAGCTATAGTGTTACAAATACTTTATTTACTTCATCATTTTATTTCTTTTACACATGTATATTTTATTTTCCAACACGTTGTGAAAATATAATTTTTGGTAAGATAACAGTGATTTTAAGTACAGAACGACCTCAAGCAACTCTTTGATTTTCCAAAATAAATGTACTTGAAACATGTTTCTTTATATCAGTCAATTTGAGGGCGTACTCATAGTTACTGAAAATTCTGGTCGTAACTGTGTATAGTATAAAAAGAACTCTTGTAATATATAAATTCAACATTTTGTAGTATGATATATTATTAAGGTATTATCAACATAATTAATAGTATATAAGTAATGTTTCTCTACAAGCTACTAGTTTACATGTTTTTGCCACTTACAGCAAATATTTGTACATTACAGCTTTTGAAAATAAAAGTATAAAGTTATATTTTTATTTTCTCTACCTACTTCCCTATAGTCCAGTTGACCATTGCTTTCTTGATCTACCGATAATCCTTTGAGCTGCAATCGAAAATGCGCAACATGTTGAGTCTGCTGGCATATTTCGTCGCTAGAAAGACAAAGGGGCGTAAGTCGGAAAATGCCCATTTCGAGTTACCACCACCAAAAATCTCTAAAAATGGATATCTATTGTATGACAAAGTGACGTATCTCTCCTTCTTATAGTTAACATGATATGGCAAATCAGTATGTGGACAGATCTCCTGTTGTTACAAGTTTTAAAAAGCCAAACGGACGTATATAGACTTACGCCTTTTCGTTTTTTCAAAACACAAGTGCTAGAGATACGCCCCCTTATTTATTTAGTATCATGTCATTGTGAATATTGTTTATCCGCATTAAAAGACTTTAAATCAGTGTTAATGAAAACACTACTTGATGAAAAATAGTGCGGTTTTACAACGTGATACTGATGCTAATAAAAAAAGATTAGAAAGCAACACCTACGCTACTGGATAATATATGTATTTATACCTCACACTTATCAAAATTTGTAGTAAATCTACACACATTTATTGGAATATACGATAGTGATTTCCTGCTGACACAGTGCCAGTGTAAGTATGACACACTATATTTAATAAGACAGTGTTGAAAAAAATTCAAACCTAAAAACCCCCGGTGGCCGTTCCGTGAGCGCAACAGTGGTGTGTCATTTTGTTAAGTAGTAGGAATACTTTATATAGTGATTTAAGCTTATCATTTATTTTTTTATGGTACTTATGATTCTTTTTGTGCTACGAAAATCAAAAGTAGAGACAACTATTTCAATATATTAATTTAATGGTAGGTATGAGATGTTCTTGAATAGGTATCAGGTTTTATTCCAATAAATGCTCCAACAGAGAATACATTTGAATATAGTCATCTCTTTTTTCCGAATATATCCATTTGACAAATAAACCATTTTGGATATTCCGGTTAAGTGGGAAGATGGAACAGAGAACGCCGTTTCTTCAGCCGATATTCACGATATTGAAGAACCTGATGTTTTAGAAGTAGGGAAGGAAATAAAAATGTACTGGCAACCTACGAAACGATGGTATTTTGGATCTATAATACTACTTTCCGAGGAAAATGAACATTCTCAAACTAAGCATTTCGCAAGGAATTTAGTTCGTTGGAGTTCAGGTGACGAAGAGACTCTGATTAATTTGATCCACAGTATTGCACCGTCGGATCATGCCAGTAGAGAGAATGAGAGTGCAAGCGACACTGAGCCTCTAATTAATTTAGCTGAACCCAGTGTACCTATTATAACATCCGACTTCGATGTGAATGAACATGAGCAAAATAAAGAAACATCTCCACGGAGACCAAAACTATTTCAGGATGATCATGAAGTTCAAGTGGCTGTTAGTAAGACCTTTGAGAATGAAAGCGATTCGCCAGCCGATGATTCGGATGCTGATCCGACTTACGTTCAGATATTATGCGAAGTGAAGACTTGTAAAACGGAAGTGTTCAGTGCATGCCATGTTTGTTTTACTGTACTTTGTTACCGTCATTTTATAAATTTAGGTCCCTGCAATAATGATCATCTCCTAATTGAAAAAAAAAACCGAGTTTACTTCAACAAAAAAAAACGCTGGAGAGCACGACAAGAGACCTGAAGATTTTTGGTTAGATGGTTCTACGAGAGAAGTGTCCCAAGAAAAAATAAAAAGAATAAATGAACGTAAAGTTGCACATGAGTTGAGAAATACTGGTCAGCAACATATCTCTCCTAAAACCAGAAGGTTGGTGTTAAGTAGAAATACTTTAAAGCCTAGGTGTTGTGGAAAACTAGGCAGATTGTGTTCTACAATTACCGAGAAAGAAAGAAGGGATTCTAGATGCATTCTATGGTACCGCTAGTTTGCAGTTACAAAGAGAATATATTGTAAGATACGTAAGAAGAGAACCTAAAAAGGAAACCAAAACAACAAGTAAAGCTTCCAGAAGAGTTATGTCTAATTATTATTTTCTACCTACCGAAAATGGAGAGGTAAAAGTGTGCCAAAAGATGTTTTTGAAACTTGGAAAAAAAAGAAAGTTACAGGCATAGTACAAAAAGAAAAAAGAGGTGGACGCCCCTAGGTTCTCAAAATCAAAGATGACGAGGTAAGAAAAGCTATAAAGACACACATTCAACGATTTCCACGAATGGAATCACACTATTGCCGGAAAAGCACGAGTCGAGAGTACCTTCATCCGGATCTCAACCTTACCAAAACGTTTGACATGATCGTGCAAGAAAATCAAAACAGTAATATAAAAACAACTTACCAAACCTATGGAAACGTATTTAGAAGTCTTAACTTATCATTCCATCATCCAAAGAAAGATGTATGTGGTCTGTGTGTTGCTTTTAGAGGGTTACAACGAAAAAAAGGCAAAGCTGCAAGATTACACCCGTCACATTAAAGAAAAAATAGAAGTTCGCAAAAAGAAAGACTTAGCCAAATTTTATACTTAGAACAACAGAGCTGCTCTAACATTTGACCTACAGCAAGTTGTTATGTTGCCCAAATCCAACGAAAATAAGGTATTTTATAAAAGAAGGCTAGCAAATTACAACTTCACAATATATAATTTAAAAACAAAACAGTGCGACTGCTTCAACTTAAAGCTCTGGATGCGTAGCGGGTAGAAGTTATATTGTTTGCTGATGGATGTACAAAAATTCGGTTGTCGCCTCAATGCTCCTTCATTCGGCGTGTTCATTTAAAAATTTAAAGTGTATTTCATTGTCATTTTTTGTTCCATGCCATGGGCAGAGTGAGGGTGATTCAGCCCACAGTGCTATTACGACTGCGATAAATGAAGCTGCTGAATTAGTGGTACCATCTCAGCTTATACCAGTTTGCAGGTTAGCCCGAAAGAAAAATCCGTACATAGTCTGCGTGTGCTTTCAGTCCGGCAAGATGACAGTGGGAATACATTAGATTGGACGAAAATGTGCGAGTTTATGGTAAAAAAGAGCACTCCAAACGAAATATATTTTGAAGACACCCATTTGCTTGACACTTACCGTGTAATGACTTTAAAACAAAGATCAAAAGCTCCATTGAATAATACACCTCTACGGAAGCTCAACACAGAACCTCCCAAAATATCTGAGGAAAAATTCAAAGATCTAATGGCTCTACAAGAAGGTGATACGCCTGTTATTAAGCTACCAGAGCATCAGAATTTCTACAAATCTCTTCCTCATTAAAGTAGTGTGTTTTATTCAATTCCATATTTTTCTATGTAAATCTTTTCATTTTGGTGTTAAACAGCTCATCTTTTACAGTGACACTTATTGTATTTACTTTAGCATTTAGTAAATTACTTTGTAACTTATACTTAATCTTTTCATAACATTGTGATTTTTGTTCACAAGACACTGTTCTATGTTCACTTTACAAGTAGGCATTATGTCATTCAAGTACTATGAAGCAAAAATATGAAAATGCAAAAAATTTCAATAATTCAATTCAAAAGTCAATAATTTTATAAATACTACTTATTTTGGTAAAATGTAATTTCTCATACAAAGTATCTAATATAGCGGATATTTTAAAATCATTTGCAATATTTCTACAACAAACGGAATAAGTTTTATACAACATAGACTATAGACCTAAACTATAATCGCGTCTCCTGTAAAATAGCTAAACTGGAGTTACGCCTCTTTGTTTTGCCAGCGACGATTTGTGTCGAATACTGATATTCGAATGCGAATCCTGAATACTGTATTCTAAATTTTATTACTTGTATTTGAATACCATTGTGTTGAAAACCTGGAATCATTTAAACATTGATATTTTATAACTACAACTTGAGTGATAAAAATACATCAAAAAACTGAAAAATACGTGACTATATTAAACAAAACTCAAAATAATACTTTGATACACAGTGTCACATTGAGGTTAGTCAAATTAACCGTACAATAAAAAAACATTCCTTCATTTTTATTAGATTTTATAGAAAATAAATAGAACAAAACTTAATAAAAAATATGACTCTTAAATAATGTACCTACATAACTAAAAATTAAACATACCTTTTTATATGTCTAATTTATCTGGTGTCACGTATTAAATTTTTTTATAAAATAGAATGGAAATACTGCACAAGCGAACATGTAATCTAATCTTGTTTCTTAGGCGAGCTGTCGGCATCGCGAATTTTCATAAAAATAGCCAGACTGGATTCGAATACAGCGATTCGAATACAAAGCGAGTATTCGAATATTGGAATTTAGAAAGGGTATTCAGAATACCGAGAAATGACCAAAAAAGTATTCAGTCGAATACCAAAGGCACAAATGTATTCGAATACCAGTCATATTTATTCTGAATAGGATGCAAAATACCGAGGATTCAAGTTTGTCTGATAGACAGACCCGCTAAATTGGGTGCGTAAATTAAAAATTTGATGAATTTCTAGCTCATATTCAGCCCAACAGCACGAGTCGTGATTCTAACTGAATTCCGATGTCGACTTGGCCTTTCATTTCGATACTGCCATGATAATTTGGATCTTGGAATCAGGCGTCAAAATTGTCAGATCATACAGTGCTTTCTAGAATTTCTGAAGGTCATATTCTAATTATTGATATAAAATATAATGGCAATACTGCACAAGCGAAGTGAATATATAATCTAGTCTCGTTTATGAAGCGACCTGCCGCAAATATTCATAAAAATAGCCAAACGGTATTCAAAAATAGGATTTGAATACAAAGTGAGTATTCGAATATTAGAATTCAGAAACGGTATTCAGAGTACCGAGCACAGTCGCGATTATAACTGAATTTCAATGTCGACTTGCCATTGCATTTCGATACTGCCATGATAAGTTCGATCTCAGAATCAGATGTCAAAATTGTCAGATCATCCAGTGC